GCTTTAAGAGCTGTTTTTTTTTTTTTTGTCAAACATTCGTTCCAGTACATTTTGTATTCTATTGTGGTACAATGCGTTTTCATCATAAGTGTATTTTTTTTTTTTTTCGAAAATACACTGTCATGTTCTGTTTGATTTGATTTTGTGTTCAGCCCCAGCTGGGGTGGAGGGCGTTTCCCTCCAGCAGGCGCACCTGTTCCGCATTTCCCATCAAGCCTTGCGGTGTATTTAAGGACCGCCTCGCGGGATTATTGACCTTACTCACTGTTGTGCTTAAGTGTTACTTTCTAGACCTGTCAATGCTATTTGTTGTCGCTCCTGTTTTGTTCATAGATCGTTGTAAACATTTTTGTAATTCAATCGTTGCTCTTCATCATTGTTTTCACGTTATTGGACTTGTGATGTGTCATTTGTGTGTTGTCGGTGTTCTATTGAACCTTGCCTTTGCAAGCGCGTTTTTTTTTCATGCATTGTGTTTCCTGGTTCCTCGCGACCAGCGATTTCAGTTGATACTTTGTAGGTGCAATTTTTTTCTGTGGTAAATATTTTTTGTTATCGCGCTTCTGGAATCCAAAAACATTCACCAGAAGCCAATCCCAACTCCAAAGAATTAAAATCCTGCCAGACTGTTTGAATGTTTATGGACACGAACAGTACACAACACTGAGTGGTTGTCAATATTTCAATTTTCAACACTGTTTTGATATCAATGTAAAAAAAAAACAATAAAAATAATCACATTCCTCTTCTGGCCAATTCTCTCATGTCATATTTTATCCTATAATTGCCATGCGATTCGCTCGCGAACAGGGCAGGATGGACCTAACCTCTCGCCCAGAGTCAGCTACAAATTTCTCATTTCAGTTAGTACCATTCGATGAACTAAAGGTGGGTGAGTCATTCAAAGGAGAAACTCAACTCAAACATCACAAATATCCAACCACAGTTTCAGTGAGAGATACCGCGAAAGAACGGAGACTGTGATAAGTCACACAGCCCACTGTTTGGCGCAAACACAGATTCTATCATCCTGTGTTAAACGGGCCACACGGCGAACATCAACCGGTCCAAATTTGTCGGAAAAACAATCATGCATGACAGGCAGTCATGCTGTGATGCTTTGCACGGCCTGCGCAAGAAAGCTGTTCAAGCTGTCACTCTTGTTGTGCAAAACTCCGCCTTCTACATCACGCTCACGAGACCAAACTTCAATTCAGGGATACACTTTCAACAAAGCGCCCACATTTCTCTCAAGTGGGAAAGTGAGGAGGGAGGGGGGGGTGACCATGAGGAACGAGAGCAGCCAGTGCATTCACGCGCACAGAGAGGAGCCCTGAGAATGTCAATGGAATGCGAGTGGAATGAGGAAGTGTGCGGGCCACTCAGCAAGATGCCAGTCACTGGAGGAGGTTTGACTACATTTGATAAACACAGCACGGGGAAACAATTCATCCGTGGATGTGCAAATGTTTGCCTTTCCATGTCAATCTGTTTGATGAAATAGCCGAAGTGAAATGACTTCAATGTTTTAGTCATGCAATATTTTTCAGTTGCAAATTGAGATGATGGTTTTAATTTGAAATCCCCCATTATGTATCTGTTGGATCAGTATGGGGGTACAATCCCCAGTGAAAGACCATTGTGCTCCGCAAGGAACAAACAAACAAATACATAATTTTTTTTTCTGATGTTATGGAAACATCTAAGTAGGTGCACATAGCATAAGTAAATGA